TATTAAATTTAATATTTTTTAATTTAAATTAATATTTTATTTGTTCAGAATAATTTTTGGAACTCTTTTCGAACGATGTATCTTTTTCCATTTAAGATTTCTTTTCGGTACAAATACGTTGAGCATTTTAATTACGTATTAAAAATTAACATTTAATATTTGACTTAAATATGTTTAAATTATTTTTAATTAAGTTAATTTTTAGATTATTATTTATTAAATTTATTTTTTTAATTATTTAATAATTTTGTTTTAATTTAATACTTCATGTTAGTCTCTCTCTATTAAGTAATGACGTAGTTGATGTACTGTCACGTCATCACCTAACAGTGTTTGTCATATTTTCTTAATATCTACCTTAGACATGATATATCAACTAAAATTATAATTAATGTAAAAATATAATAAATAATTTTTAAATTTGGTAAACAATTGTAAACAAGGTGTATTTATAATTTTTTTTAACTTAACTGTTAAATTTTTAAAAATTAACATATAACATAGATTATGAAATAAAATAATTTTGTTAAAAATTACTTAAATAATCAAGACCTATTTACAGCAAGTATAAATTTAAAATCTTACACTAAATCTTATATTATATCTTTAATAATTTTTTCTATAACATAAATTCAACTATTAAATTATATAATATTATACTCAAGATTATATATCTTTAAATTTCACATCATTCTAATACAAAAAGTTGTATGTAGTATTTAACCCTATAATAATTTTTTACCGTTAAGATTTATTTTAGTTTTTCCCTTTAACATTTGCAATTGTGGTGGTGATTTGGGTATTATTTGAACTAATATGCAGCTGAGAAAGGAGAATGAGTTTGGCCCCATTCCAGCAGCAGTGAAAGTGAGAGACACAGAAAATGTAACGATGGAAGCGTTGATTACTACAATTAGAAGGGCTATTAGTTTCTATTCATCAATTCAAGCCCATGATGGTCACTGGCCAGCAGAATCAGCTGGTCCTTTGTTCTTCCTTCAACCACTGGTCAGCTCCAATTTCATAATAATATTTAATTTAATTTGATGACCACTCTTAATATTGCTCTTTGTAATTATAATGTCTACAGGTAATGGCATTATATATTACAGGATCCCTTCATGATGTTTTAGGACCCGAACATAAAAAAGAAATTATTCGGTATTTATACAATCATCAGGTATATTTATCATTTTTTTCGCTTCATTTATTATAAGATCTCATTTAATTCCTTCTGATTCATCTTAAATAAGGTTGAATTTGAGTGTAGTGTATAAATTATTTTGATAAATGAGTTAACCTCGTCATGCGATTAATATTTTTTACTTAAATAATTTTGTTTCTATTGTAACATATTAAAACATTATTAATAGTCTTCTAAGTTATAGATAAAAAAATTTAATTATTAAAATTAAAATTTAATTATATACAATTGCCAAAAAAATTTAATTATATACATAAATTATTATTATATTATCACCTCTACAACAATCATTATCACTACTCCTCACCATTATCAGATAATAACAATAATAAAAATAATAACATTAAAAATGATAATAATGACAATAATAACCACATCATTTATTTAATTTCTAAATTAGTCAAACATTTTAAAACTTTTTTGCTACCATAAATTATAGTCATTAAAACTTATTTTGTCTATTAATATTCAATTCAATAACCAGTTTAAAGGTTAAAAAAGGATCTCAACTTCTTTCTCCTTAAATTTTGAAGTATTTTTTTTTTACAAAATATAATTATTTATAAAATTATATACAACAATGTTTATTTATTTTTTATGTCTATCTTAAATATTTTCTATATTCATTTTTTTCCTTAGTTTCTACATGAGAGACTTATTTTAGCAAAATTTTTAAAAAATTAAAAAATTATTTGATATTTCGTTCTATTAATTCAAATTAACGGATACGCATAAAAATATATCATCTGTCAATTTGAATTAATGAAATGAAGTATCAAATAGTATTCAATTTTTTTTAAAATATTACAGATTTGATCAATGTATTAAGAACTTTAAATTCAATGATTAGATCGTTAAGATTTGATATAGAGCTTGAGTTATTAAATGGAGTAAGTCCAGGTAGATTTACTCCTGGATTTGATATTTCGTTTACTTTAGGAGTAAAGTAAGTTTACCTAGATTTACTCCGTTTAATAACTTACGTTCTATATCAAATCTCAATAATTCAACCGTTGAATTTAAAGTTTTGAAAACCATGTTATACTTTGTTTCATTAATTCAAATTGATAGATAACATATTTTTATGATTATTCGTCAATTTAAATTAATGAAATGAAGTACAAAATGATTTTCACTTTTTTTTAAATTTTACATATTTGATCTATGCATTAAGAACTTTAAATTCAACGGTTAGATCGTTGAGATTTGATATAGGACATGAGTTATTGAACAGAGTAAGTCTAGGTAGACTTACTCTTAGAGTAAGCAGATTCCTCCTTTCTCTCTCTCTCTCTCTCTCTCTCTCTCTCTCTCTCTATATATATATATATATATATATATATATATTCGAGGAAGTCTGTTTACTCTTTGAGTAAATTTACTTAGACTTACTTCGTTCAATAATGCATGTTCTACACCAAATTTCAGCGATCTCATTATTTAATTTAAAGTTTTTAATGCATAAATCAAGTCTGCAAATTTTTACAACAATTAAAAGTTATTTGATACTTTGTTTCATAATTAATTCAAATTGATAGACAATCATAAAAGTATTTGGTACATTGAATTGAATTAATGAAACGAAGAATCAAATGATTTTTAAAATTTTTAAAAATTTACAAACTTAATCTATGGATTAAAAATTTTAAATTCAACTGCTAGATCGTTGAAATTTAATAAAACGTGAGTTATTAAACAGAGTAAGTTTAGATAAACTTACTCCTAAAATAAATGAATCTCTTATATATATAATCTAATTAAATGAGTCTACCTCATCATACAATTAATATTAATATTATTTACTTAAATAAGGGTGTTTATAGTGGAATATACTTATTATGGTCATAAACAATCCACAAATATGAAAATGTATCTAATTTCATTGATATACAACTTTTGAAAATTATTATACGGTCAAAAAATTATATTAAAAGTATATTTTTATTGATCAAATTATCAAATTATAATTTTATGTTATTTTAAATGTTTATGTTAAATTTTGTTAAAATTTTATTAAAAAAATAACTAAATTATTTATATTTTAATATATTTTTAAAACAATATATTTTGTCAATTTTTTTTCTATATAAATGAGGTATCACATAATTTTAGATTAATATGAAATTGTGTTATATAACCTAATTGTAAAAAACTTTTAATTTAACAGTGAGTTTTAATCAAACATCATCTTACTAATAATTATTAAATAATATAATAGTTAATAAAACTTAAATTGATGTACTTTAAGAAAGTATGGGCTTAGTTTGAATGTCATTGTCCTTATTTTATTGAGGGAGAATGTAGCTCCTCTATATACAATGAATAATTTTGTTATTGTTGTGAAATTTTTATTTATTTTATTATTATTATTATTATTATTATTATTATTATTATTATTATTATTATTATAACACTGTTATCGCTACAATGTTTTCGAATAACGAAGGGGTGATGTACATAAAAGAATTTTGATGCTCAGGAAATTACTCAATTAAATAGGTATAATACTTATCATAAAAGATTGGATGATCAAACATGGGAGGTGTCCTTCCATGCACAATCATCTAACATAATAAAATGGAAAGTAATATCTATCAACATGAAAAGTAAAAAAGTAGGAAGAGTTAGAGATATGAAGATAAAATTATTACCCATATATTTAAGAACTTTTATACATAAATAGACTCTAGTCCTCATCAACGATCACTAAAATACTGCCAACTATTTGTAGTTTATGACGTGTGTTTGGTGTTATTAACAATTGCGTAATCAATTTGTCAGTTGGTAACAACCATGATGTCTATGATGGGGATCATGATCCAATCTAACTTTATATTGCACATGGAACAATATGGTACATATGTTCCCATTAGGATGCATGTGTCCCTCGATCCTTTTTTAGGATAAACCAGACGTGCCATGCTACACATTCTCTTGGATAGCTAGCGTATCTATTAAACAATATCAACTATATATCAAGTTAGAGTTGTATTAGACTTTATTGTCAATAGTTTTTAAAAGAAACATTTGACTTCGAATAAATATATTATCTGATTTACACTAGTTTGAGCTCTATAAAATTTTATTAAAATATCATATTTATAAAGAACTGTCATAGTATTCATGAAAATCGATGGGTTTTAATATATTAAATTATATGAATAAATAAATTTTAAAAAATAAATTCAAAATAACATAAGTTTTAAATTAAAAATTTATATAAAATGAATCAATCAAAAAAGACTAATTCAAAAAAAAATTAAAAAGTCAATTTTCATAACAAATTTTGTTTATATGCGACAAAATTAAAAAATTAAAAACAAAAATTATAATAATACTATAAAAATATTAAAAGAAAAAAGAAAAATAATAAATAATACAATTGAAAAACTAATTTATATTATAAATTCAAAAAAATTAACACCAAAGAAAAATTAAAACTAACAAAATATTAACATTAAACTATTTAATTATAATAGATACTACATTAAGATAAAAATTATAAAATATAAAAATAATATAAAGATATAAAATTATTAAAAATACTAAATTAAAATAAAAATAAAAACAAGTAATTATAATTAAAAAAAATAAAAAATTAGACGACTATTCCAGCACAATTATAATGAGTACCGTAAAATTTTCCATATTTTATAAGAAAAGATATTTCTAAAACTCAACCTAAAAGATCAAGTCAACAAATTAAATTGAATATAAATAAAAACAATTAAATAAAAAACTAAATTATATTAAAATAATTAAATAAATATGTAATTATATTAATTATTACACAAAATGTACAACAGAAAACGATTGCCTTAAATTAATAGAAGATACATGTCATCAATTAAAAAAATCACTTAGTAACTCAGGCTTCACTATCTGGCTTAGATTAGCAATAGTTGATAAATATAAAAGTCACTTAGTCGATAATGACAGACATGATTGGACGAGACATTGATCACTTTTGTTGACCGATTATTGATTTGTGTTGAGACAGAATGAAGATGGCGGTTGGGGATTCCATATAGAGGATCATAGTACAATGTTTGGATCAGCATTGAGCTACATTGCCTTGAGGATACTTGGAGAAGAGCTTGAAGATGAAGATGGTGCAATGGAGAGAGGCAGAAAATGGATCCTCGACCATGGTGGTTTAGTGGCTATTCCATCATGGGGAAAGTTCTGGGCCTCGGTAAACTCATTGTCACGTTCGACTTTCACTTTTATATATGACATGCACACAAAAAGGCACTCACATGCATGCGTACGAGTAATATGTAGGTACTTGGTGTTTATGAATGGTCTGGTTGTAATCCACTACCACCAGAGATCTGGCTACTACCCAAATTCATCCCAATACATCCAGGTACTTTGGGCTTCCTTTCTTTTTTCAACCTTTGATTAGTGATAGATATAAGTGCGTGAAAAGTAATCTTTATCTTATAAATTAATTTTATATATAGAATTGAGTTAGTCTAAAATTCATAATTCTATGATAGTATCATATTTATTTAGATCTACTCTAAATGGATCATTTATCATTGATACATGTACTATGAGTGTGCGAGAGGATGTATTGAGAAAAATTCAAATCCAAGTCTTACAATTATAAGTAAAAAATAACTCTCACCTTACAAGCCTATTTTATAAGATTGAGTTAAACTCAAATCTACAATTCTAAGAAACAAATTAATCACCATTTATCTTCTTTCTGCAACCAACCATTTCCTTGTCTCTTCTCAAATATGCAGGTAACATGTTGTGCTACGCTCGCTTGGTTTACATGCCTATGTCATATTTATATGGGAAGAAGTTCGTGGGCCCCATCACTGGCTTAATCAGAGCACTGAGACAAGAAGTGTACAATGAGCCTTACGATCATATCAACTGGAATAAAGCCCGGAACACTGTTGCTAAGGTCCATACAATCTTTTTCCTTGTATTCTTTTTAATGTATATGTGAAACTAAAAATGGTGTGCAGGAGGATCTCTACTATCCACATCCCATGATCCAAGATATGTTATGGGGATTTCTTCATCATGTGGGAGAGCGTTTTCTGAATTGTTGGCCCTTTTCTATACTTAGACGAAAGGCATTAGAAATCGCAATTAATCATGTACGTTACGAGGATGAGAACAGTAGATACCATTGCATTGGAAGTGTAGAGAAGGTAACGAACAATCATTACCATTAAATAATATAGTAAGTTGTTCCATAACATAGCACAATTTGTCCTTAATTACGGAATGGAAATTGTATGCAGGTGTTATGTTTGATTGCACGTTGGGTTGAAGACCCCAACTCAGAGGCATACAAACTTCATTTAGCCCGAATCCCTGATTACTTCTGGCTCGCAGAAGACGGCTTGAAAATGCTGGTAAATAGTCTTTACATACTTTTGTTGAATGACTCACTTGGTAATTATTATCTACTTTTGCTTTCTGAGCTAACACGACTCTGAAACATTGGAACGCCTTATACATAAATCTCAATTGAATGTAGGGTATTGGGACCCAGACGTGGGATGCAGCATTAACAATTCAAGCAATACTTAGTTGTAATGTGAGTGAAGAGTACGGACCAACACTTCGGAAAGCACACGACTTCCTAAAGGCATCGCAGGTAATTAACTTGATGTGAGATAATGACTGATTAAAGAGACCTTAATTATAATGCCATTTTTTTCTAGGTCCGCGAAAACCTACCCGGCGATTTCAAATCAATGTGCAGACATGTATGCAAAGGAGCGTGGACATTATCAACGCCCGATCATTGTTGGCCAGTCTCGGATTGCACGGCAGAAGGACTCAAGGTTCACCCAAATCCATCGATCAATGTTCATCTGCTTCTTTAAAATATGCATGACAACAAGACATTAACATTTTATTTATAAAAATCTTTACATTCGTCCTACCAAATAATTAATATGTCAATAAAAGAACTAAGAAAATGGCTACTTTGATTGCATTAAAGAGAAGCAATGTGATGTTTGGTACTGTATTATATATTGGGATGAACAAAATTAACGCAGTAATTGTTGGGAAAATTCACGATTAATATTTACAAATAAATATAGTGGAAAGCCAATAGATACGTTCCATGAGGCCTTGAATAAATCTTGACTCTTGGAAAAGCTCCATACCATAATGGAAGGGTATATGATAGAAATTTGTCAAGGTTAATTATTTTTAAATATTTTTTTAATCAATGAATGATTTAATGACTAGAAAAAGATCTAAAAGAGTTAAAAAAATAATAATAATTTGAAGAGTTTAATGAACCCAATACCAATTATTAAAGGTTATGTTTTAGACTTTATTTAGATGATTTATTTAATTTTTTAGTTTAAAAGTTACTTAAGTCTATTTTTTAATTTTAATGTAGTTTTCGTATTTTATTTTAATTAAATAAGTTCAGATAATTTTTCATATTTCCTAGGTCAGTTTTGAGTAATTGTGAAAAATAAATATTAGTGGAAATTTATTTCCTAGTGAAGCTTAGTGAAAAATTACATGTAAGTGAGAGGTTGAATGTCTTACTTTATAAATAGAATTTGTTGTAATCATCAAAGACAAACTTGAATATTAATCAAATTGTGAGTTTCCCATTATAAGAGTCTTTTTCTTTATTTTTGGATACGAACATAATAGTGTTAGTTCTACCGATAGATCGTGATTAGAGTTACATTTTTCTCTAATAACTTTGATTCTACTAGTAGGTTGCAGTTATAATCAAGCTCTTCTTTGTTATTGTACCTATTTTCAAGATGATCCTATCTTTTAAAAATCATATCATTTGATGTCATAATTTCAGCTCTTGAATTTAGGTCTTATTTATCTCTTACCTTTTTATCTTCAAATCCAAAAAAAATGGATATTGATCTCAAGTTCTTAGTGAAAAAGTTTCAAACACAATTCCAACTCTTAAATGCAAAATTAGATAGTCTCGAATTTACATCTAGATCTAGAAGTCCAAGGCAACACACATATAAAGTGGGGTATTCAAAGAGACACTACCAAAGGAGAAAAGTAATAGCGTGTGAGAAATCAAAAGAAATTGAAAATGAAAGAATAAAAGAAATATAGAAGAGAGAAAATGAGTTGAAAGAAAAGGAGAAAGAGGAAGAAAAAGAATGCAAAGTTTTATGTTCTAATCATGTGTTTATAAGTAATAACTCTCCTTTGAAGGGACTTGAAGAGCTTCCAAAGAAAGAATGCAAAGCATCAAATGAAAATGAATTTAAATTTTCAAAGATGCAGAATTCTCAAACAATTGAAGGAACTGATTGTGGACTTATTTCTTCTTTAATCCTATAAATTATTTTGTCTTAATGTCTAAAAAAGAGTTGCACATAAAGATTTTATGAGAAAAGCAATTCTTTGAGATTATGAATCCATATATAAAGCAAGACGATCAACTTTATTCGAGGACAAATCACATAAAATGGGGGGAGGAATGATAAGAATCTATTAAGGTCAATTATTTTCATTTTTTTTTTTCAATAGATGGAAGACCCAATACTTAAAAGAATATTTAAAAGAGTTAAAAATAATAATTTAAAGAGTTTAATGAACCCAACACCAATTATTAAAGATGTTATAATAGGTTGGTCTTTTTTTTTTTGGATAATTTACTTAATTTTTGGACTTAAAAGTTACTCAAGTTTATTTCTTAATTTTAATATAATTTATAGATTTAGTCTTGGATCTCTTCTATAAAAGGGATCTTGTTATGATAGTAAACACTATCTATTGAAACATGGGGGATTACCACCCACCGAGAGAGAGAGGGTTGCCACCATATGTGAGAAGGGGATTTTATATGAAGAGTGTTTCTCAAAACTTGTAATGTAAGATGAGATAATGAATATTTGTTAAAGATGTTCTTCTGGATGTATACAAAAAGTGTCAAACAACAATAAATTCATGTTTTTCCTATTTATATGTGTATGTTCTTGTACCTTTTGATCTTCACTGTGTGTGAAAAGGAGATTTTTTTGCGGGAATTTTTTTTAAAATCATGCTGGTTTTCATCACATATTAGAGTTTGACATTTGACAGCTAAGTTTATGCACAGGCTGCACTCCAATTGTCAGAAATGCCAAGTGATCTAGTTGGGGAGAAAATGGAAATAGGGCGATTCTATGATGCTGTTGATGTCATCCTTTATTTACAAGTACGATTTCCTAGTTAGATCATTTGTCAATGTAACTTTGAATACGTAATTAGATGCAACTCTCACATGTTCCAATTAACTACAGAGCAGTAATGGCGGTTTCCCTGCTTGGGAGCCTCAAAGAACCTCCCGTGTGTTAGAGGTAATAAAATACGGTAGCACTTTATTTAACAAAAAGATTAAGGATTTTGCCTTTTACTAAGTTAGAACTTATATGTGTGCTGCAGAAATTCAATCCATCTGAAGTCTTCGAAGACGCTCTCTCTGAGATGGAGTAAGATTACTGTGACAATTAACAAAAGTATTGATGCACTCACTACATTGGCCAACTCTTGCCCTTACTATTTTGCATGATGTGAAATAGGTATGTGGAATGCACTGCATCAGTAGTGAAAGCCTTAGTTCTCTTTAGAAAGTTATACCCAAAGCATAGAAGAGAGGAAATTGATCGTTGTATTTCCAAAGCAATCCAATTCATTGAAAACACACAAAATCTCGATGGCTCGTGGTATTGTATCTTGTCCCATCTACTTTCCTAATAGTAGCATGTTATGCACCACTCTCTAATCTACTGTACAGTTCTAGGATCTAGCTTTACCATTGAAATCGACGGGCATCCTTCTTTATATAACTTACAACTACTCCAATTATGTCATCAATAACAAACTTTTATATAACTTGCCGTAGTTTTAATTGGTTCAATAAAAGACGAAATTCATTCTTATTCATAATTTACTATAGATAAGCACTTGAACAGGTACGGCTTTTGGGGTATTTGCTATACCTATGGTACCTTGTTTGCCATAGAGGGACTAAAAGCTTATGGAAAGAACTACCGTGACAGTCCTTCCCTACGCAAAGCTTGTGAATTTTTGTTGTCAAAGCAGCTTCCTAGTGGCGGGTGGGGAGAGAGCTACTTGTCGAGCCGAAACAGGGTATATACAAACCTAGAAGGCAACCGAGCAAACTTGGTTCAAACTTCATGGGCTTTGTTGTCTCTTATTCAGGCAGGACAGGTTAGAAAACTGTTATAAAAAATTAGTAGTAGCTATAATATACCCCATGTTAGAGAAAAAATTTATTACTTGGAACAGCTCAAAAGTTTCAGATGTTTCTTAGCAGATTTATAGAGTATGTTATTGTGCTAATTTAGTGTGGTGAATGTTTTGGTGAAAAAAGGCTGAGATAGATCCTGCACCTATACACCGTGGAATGAAGTTACTAATCAATTCACAAATGGAAGATGGAGACTTCCCACAGCAGGTAATTGATTTCATCCAATGAGAGACGCAAAGAGATTGAACGTTATGCATGTTAGTTTATCTGATCAACACACTTTGATTCATAGGAGATGACAGGAGTATTTATGAGGACCTGTGCCCTCAACTTCTCTTCCTATCGAAACATCTTTTCCATATGGGCTCTGGGAGCATATCGTCGCCATGTCTTGTATGCTTAAGGCCTGAATGCCTCAAATGGTTTCGTTCTTGGTACCCCTACGCATCAACTCCTACATGTGTAATTTAATTTTTATTTGGATCAATTATATGTTTTGTAACGACCCACCATGGTCTCTACACTTAGTAGAATCGCACTACTGCTAGTGAACTAAGAGAAATATTAAGTTGGATAACTCATACATACATGTACAAATAAAAATAAATTAACTAAATTTTTTGTTATAAAATAAAACTCCATATATGTACAGTCATCCCAAAAATAATATTCCCTAGTGCCGGTCAAGCACAGACAAAACTGTTACCCAAAATGGTAACTTCAACACGAGGATTAAAACTCCCCGTCTCGCAGCGGACACCTCAACTCCAAGCTAGCCCTGACTTGCTTCCATACCAAGTATGATCATCGCAGTTCCACCACATGAAAATAGAAGGGTAAGCTAGAATTCACAAATCAATCATACAAGTATAGAACAATAATCTATACTACACAATCATCCAACCATCAATCATATTCATAGAGTCTCACCATACACTTTATCCAATACTACTCATGCATAACATACAATGCACCAATCATGAAGTCAAACACCACACTTCATCATATTAATAATCATGCAATAAATGCATCTCATGACAAATATCAATGCATATCAATCATCTAATGTGTCGTCACGCATACACCTAGGAGATCTCCACAACAATAGAGCTGTATAAGTGACATTCCATCCTACCGAAACCACCCCAACTGTTTTCACGCCCAAAGCGCCCGCCAACCGTTTTCACGCCCAATGCGCCCGCTCGGTTACAGCTAAACAGGATATATAATCCTCACTCAGGTTTACTTGGATGATGTCACTTACACACTTGGAAGTCCAGATCCACCGTCAGGTATAGCACAGCTGGGTACGGGCTTACCACGACCTTGACATGCATTAACCAAGTCAATTGTGGAGTTCGCCCACCGACTATCCGCAAGGATCCACACACTTTCCCGAGTACTTCGTTAAGGGAATAACCCTCGACCTCATATCCCGCTCCAACACCAACAATGCTTTACGTAGTTGTTTTGAGCAATGATACAGGAACCTGCATAAGACTCCAGCTAGGATCAGCCCTATTAGTAGTTAGTTAGCCACGTGGCACATCATGAGCCACCAGTTAGTTAGAAACCGCCAAAATTAGGAAGGTTGTTAGTTCTGAATTGTTTCTGAAGTGTATATAACAGTTCCATCGATTTCAATTGATTCATTCATGACTTGTAAAAATTCTTCCTGTAAAATTCCTCTCAATTCAATAAAAGTTCTAGTGTTCGGACTCCATTCTCGTTTCCTTGGAATCCCTACCCATTCTTCTTCTTGGTTCTTCTTCGAGAATCGGTATAGTTTACTTTGTCGACAACAATGCTTTACGTAGTTGTTTTGAGCAATGATACAGGAACCTGCATAAGACTCCAGCTAGGATCAGCCCTATTAGTAGTTAGTTAGCCACGTGGCACATCATGAGCCACCAGTTAGTTAGAAACCGCCAAAATTAGGAAGGTTGTTAGTTCTGAATTGTTTCTGAAGTGTATATAACAGTTCCATCGATTTCAATTGATTCATTCATGACTTGTAAAAATTCTTCCTGTAAAATTCCTCTCAATTCAATAAAAGTTCTAGTGTTCGGACTCCATTCTCGTTTCCTTGGAATCCCTACCCATTCTTCTTCTTGGTTCTTCTTCGAGACTAGCTCTACCTAGAATAACCATATCAATTG